CAGCGCGCACCCGCTTCTTTAGCTTCTTCCCATCACTACGCGCCCCATACTCCTTTAGAGCTGCTAGTCGCTGCCTATCTCTAACTACTAGAGTCCCCTCCTTCTAAACCTGCTTTCTTTTGTGTGATTTTCGTCGCGTAGCGGCCTTATTTGCTGCCTGAAGCTCGCTGATTTCCTGTTAGGCTAAAACTAGCCTGTAGGATAAAATTGCTCCCCCCTTTGCATAGTGCTTAAGCGCGCTTAGAACAGAATTAGGTGAGCTACCCTGCTGCTTCTTATACTTCTCTTAAATTAGAGTTAATTAAGACCTAAATTCTAGGGTATTGCTAGGGGTTTGCAACTGCCAGGGCTCGCTGTTAGTGGGGAGTAGTAGTGATAGAGTCTGCAGCTTCACATCAAGGGTTAAAATAACCTGTTCTAGGTTAAAGGGGACTAATCTAGCGCCTTAGAACCCTCCTTAGATGTTGCTAGAAGTAAAGACTATATTATAGGCTGCTTTAAAGCATAGGAGGAACTTAGTCTTTGTAAGGTGGGTAATCTAGTTGCGCATGAGCATTTTGGCTTGGCGCCCATACGCCTTCTTCAAAGGGGCAAAACAACCCACATCAAGTGGCTGTAGGAGGTGTGATAAGTGGGGAGGCATGCATATAGTAACAATATTGTTATCCTTGCAGTGTTGCTAGAATTTAAGCAAGTTGTGGCTCTCATGGCCATTAATAACTAGCAGTTGGTGGGTACTAACAGTACGCTCCTTTGTATGCGTGTTAAAGTGCTTCAACTACTTAAGACCAAGCTTATTAGTAGTCTAGCTATTACTAGAGACTCTAATAACCTAATCCTAGGGCAGGTCTTCCTCCTTGTACCAGCTAGAGAGGTGGTGGCGTGCCTTGAAGATAATGAAGGGCGGAATAGCCCATCCTTTCGCATTGATGCCCTGTATGACTGTTGTCCACTCCCAGTTGCCTTGCTGGACTGTCTTTGGCCTTCCTCGTCTCTCTGAAGCTGTAACAACTGCTCCTAGGGAGATCTGGCCTATCATGAAGCTAGTCTTATTAAAGTTGTAGGTATTATCATCCTAGATGCCATACTTGGCTTTAATGTTGGCTACTAGGCTAAACCAGCCCTGCACAACCCCTAAATCCTCGCAGAGGGCTCGCTTGTAGCTGTACTTGCAATTGAACTTTACTTTAAGCTCTAGTTAACGCTTAACAAACGTACTGGGCCAATTTACGCTAATAGGGCCTAGATTGCGCTCAGCGTGCAGAGAATTGGCCATAGCAGCCACATCTGCCAGCTGGGGGCCAAATCCTCGCGCGTCTAGCTCAAGGACATGTTCAATAATCACCTGCTCCTCATTGTTGTCCAGCTTTCGCGAGTTGGCTATAGAATTAGCGCGTGAAGGTTGTCCTGCGCGTCGTGTGCTTAGTGTACTCTGAGGCACCTTATAGATAGCTGCAGCGCGTTGCTGGGTGAGATTCGCGTCTTGTTTAAGAGCTTGAAGCGCAAGCTGTATTTAGGCTTCCCTTAACGCGTTAATATTAGGTTGTTGTTGAGGCATTGGTATGTAGAGGTTACTTTGGTGGGGGCTTGGCAAAAGTGATCAGCTCGCCCGTTGATCAGCTCGCCCGTGGGGTACGTT